TTTTTAAATTTCTGTTTTTATGTGTTTTTGCAGAACTGCGTTAAAAAAAACAAAATCACATTTATGTAATTTGTAAATTATTTCTCCATTGGATTGTACCAGAAATGTAATTTTAGTGTCATTTTAAAATAGAGAAATTGTAGAATAAAATGTGCAATTTTATGCTTAGTAACACACGTTGTTTTTAAACCTAACATTGGTGAAACTAAAACTTTTTTTTATTTTATTACATCTTTTATGCCTGTGGATTCCAGGAAAATATAGAATAGTTTTTGCAATGTGGCCAAAGAAATTATTTTTTGGCCCAAACATAAACTACATATGTATTGCTTCTGTACCATGTAACAATTGATCTGGCCCATAATGGATTTACAAGTTCAAGACCTGAAGCAATTACATTTTTTTATACTTTTTTTATATTAAAGCAGGACTCCTACTCTCCTTACCACTTGTTGGTATTGGCGCCAAATGACAGGGGTATGGCACTAGAAATCTTAATAATGTAAAATACATAAAACAGAGTTTTCAGTATAACTGAACCTGAAATCAAAATTGACAAATCAACTTGATGTGCACAATGACATTCGAGTAACATTATCAAAAAGTGTACCTCAATTTGTTACTTAAAGTGTTACTAAACCCAGGATGCTGCATTCACTATAATCTGGTCTCCCACAGTACACAGAACATGGAAATGCAATTATTTTAGTAAATATAAATGGATAAATACATTTTTCATCAGCAGTGAGAGCAGTCTTGTAACCAAAGTCTGTGTGGTTAAAGCTTGTAGGAGTTTTCGTTCTCCCCTGATTGTCCTATGATGCTGTAGGACCCCTGACTGTCTGTCTGGACAGTGCTGATTGGCCCAGTGCTGATCACATGTATTCTCCCAAGGAATAAAAACTCTCTAGAAATGCACACTAAATTGAGCATGTGCATCTTGCCCCCAAGGCTTTGTTCTATCAGGAGATGGATTGGGGACAGTAGAAGAAAGGGGGGGATCAGAGAAGACAGGATCAAACATCCTTTTAACACAATGTGGAGGATTAACCCATTAGGTTCCACAGTGAGTATAACAAGCATGCTTTACTGCATATACTGATTTTACTGTTGCGGGTTCAGTAACACTTTAAGCCGGCCATACATGGAGTGAATTTCTTTCTCTCCATTCCCACTGGGAGAAGACAGTGATTATCGCTTGCAGCTATACCAGCCATATAGTAATCATATGTAAAGTCCAGCAGGCTGGTTATACCCAAGTTGCCTGATCAACCAACTTGGGAACATTCAGCCTACCCATACATGGTTCCTGCAGAACCGGCCGAGAATCACACCATCTATGGCCGGCATTATTTTGGTACTTAATAGGATTACTGATAACGATTTTGACAGTCTGACAATGGGAAATATGAGGCCATATTGGACAATCCATTGGGGTTCTGTAATTGTAAAAAGGTTAAGATCCCCTGTACTACAGTAAAGATTACTTTAGCAGCAATTCCAGAAAATTATCAAACTATTGTTTGTAAAAATTTGCTTACAAAATAAATATATGACAGGTCTTTTAGTGATTGCATTAGGCTGCTCATGTTCCTTTGCATTTCCTAAACCGATTATGACTTTAACATTTGTCTTTTCATTTTCTCCTTGTCATCATTTTCCATTTGTGGCAGAATGTTCAGAGCCTCTGTTATACTGCTGTAACTGACGCTGCTAATGGCTTGTTATTTGGCAGCATAAAAATGTTGTGCTATTTTATCAGCATATTTATACATCACTATCAGAATCATGCAGTCTCACTCAGGTTTTATGACTGAATCCTAAAATGGGTAATGCACCAGCTTTTGTAGGTTTACCCAAAATGTACACATAAGTAAATGCATCCCCGATCCTAACACCCTGAGACCGTACCTTTGTTAAGTGTGATTTCTTTATTTAGGAAAACTGTCAAAACTTCATTTGTGCCTAAATAATGCTGAGAATGTCATGATTATTTTTCTTGAAATTTTTCTTAAAAATGACTGTGAGAAAAGAAACAAAAATGATCTTTGTCAATGCCTGTGAATGTTGAACAATTTATGTTTGCTGTGTCATCACATGGAACCTGCACATTCATTTCCCTGAACTGTTCCTAGCCTGCAAAATAAAATGTCATGTTCCTTACACATAACAAATAATACTGAACATGTTTCTGAGGACAGAGGGGACTGATTTACTTGTTAAATGTTTGCTGAGCTTAGTAAATGAGATGAAGCTGCGTTCACTACAATCAACTGATCGCATTCCAGCAAAAGTCTGATTTTAACTTTCCACACTTGACTGGAAGGCAAAATAGCTTCCATATATGCGTATCAGTTTTTATATAGAGCTTTTTTCTGAAGGTGCAGTTTAAAAAAAAAAAAAGAAGAAAATAATTCTTCTAGTGCACAGGATTTGCACTCAATTTCTTTGCAGACTGTATAATCATTATGGTTGCCCTCAATGGGCCGGTTGTATCTGTAATATGTCCAGAGCACCCCCCCCCCCTTACCCCAACCATCAGAAGTCAAGAGTCCCCCACTATCCCTTACATCAGGGGTGTCAAACTGACGGCCCTCCAGCTGTTGCAAAACTACTATTCCCATCATACCTCTGCCTTTGGGAGTCATGTTTGTAACTGTCAGCCTTGCAATACATCATGGAACTTGTAGTTTCGCAACAGCTGGAGGGCCACCAGTTTGACACCCCCCTGCCTTACATCATGGTGCACCACTCTTACAATGTGCTGCTACTGGGAAGAAGCTAGGACAGAGCTGGGAAGCAGAAAGTGCAGGGTCTGGAGGAGGACCAGGAGGGCTGGGAGTCAGCTGCCGGAACCTGCTGAAAGCTGAAACCAGGGGAGGTGGACATGGCAAGGTGCTGTGGAAGCAGAGAGAGGAGCAGGATCTGTAGGAGTAGTTCTGTCCTCCTCTCTGTTGCCAACTGATGAGATGAGGGGAAAGAGTTGAGCCTCTTTGTGGCTGCACAGAGAAGTGCAGGATCTGGCAGAGGAGTTCTGTCCTACTCCACTCTCTGCTTCCGACTGCTGAGGCAAAGTAGAGGTGGAGATGCGGGGAGTGCCATAGGGCAGCACAGTGGCTAAATGGTTAGCACTTCTGCCTGGCAGTACTAGGGTCATTGGTTCGAATCCCAACCATGGCACCACCTGCCTGGAGTTTGCATGTTCTTCCTGTGCCTGCATGGGTTTCCTCCGAATGCTCCGGTTTCCTCCCACACTCCAAGACATGCTGGCAGGTTAACTGGCTCCTGTCTAAAATTGTCCCTAGTATGTGTATGTATGAATGGGAGTTAGGAAACCTTAGGTTGTACACCCCCTGAGGGTTAGGGTTGTACGTAAGTTATGGACTCTCACCTGGAAAGGTATGCTTGGGCAGCCATAGTCTAGCAAAGTGAGTTAGGGATGGATGCATTGGACTGTGATGTTCATGGTATGAATTTGCATTGCAAAGTTCAGTAAAGTTCATTAAACTGTTTGGGTAATGGAAATTACAAAAAGTTGGGACAGTAAAGCACATTGGGGTATGAAGCATGTCCATTTTTAAAGATAAACTCGGCATCAGGAGTGGAGGAAGGTAGCAGTTGCCAAGGACTGGTGTATAGCAGCTTGTCGTGAAGCAGGGTACCTGGGCAAGGTGAGGTGTCTTTTGATAGGGAGGGGATCAGTGATCAGACTCCCTCCCTAGCGGTCGGTTTCCCATAGCAACAGGGACAGAACCCACTGCAACTGTACAGATGAGAACGTAAGGAGTTATGTGAGAGCATGCATGAGGTCCATGCTATGTGCTTGGTGGGATCCCATTCGGTCACTGGGAGTGAGGTTGCAAAAGTGGATGCATGAGGTCCGTGGTATGTGCACAGCAGGACCCCAGCCTGTCACTGAGAGTGAGGTGGTAGAGGTATACTGAACAGGTGGAGAGGGCATAGGCTCAACAACCGTTACAGCGAGATGTGTAATGACATGGGACACATTGCTTCACAGAGGAACTCTGTACATTAAATCACTACATACAGTGCACCACCCATTTCTAAGTCATGGGCCTCCTTAAGGTTGATTTCACGTGAACATAACCTCCACCTAGTCCTGGGCATTGGTGAGCTTGTGCACACACAGAAAGGTACCCCATGAGCAGGGTGAGTGATTCTGCCCACTGCCCAGTGCAACCCAAGAACCCTGTGGGCTTACAAACCTGGAGCTAGGATACACCCACTTCACACATGGATGGAATCCTAATATATAGGGGTACATCAGTGTGTCTAGAAGCGGACCTGAAAACTGCTGCAGGTTGAATTATCTTACAAGTGTGATGTTCTCTAATCTCATTTCTATTGTTCAGTAATGTTTTACATAATATGCATAGTGTCATTTAAAATAGACAGCTGACAAAACACACAAGGAACACGCATCATGTTGTAAAATGCTGAGCAAACTGTTGGCACCAAATAAATCCTGTATAATAATAATAACACATGTTCCTTAATTACCTGGAATCCTGTTTTCCATGATTCTGTACTTTTAAAGCGTTTTGGGTTTTATTCTTACAAAGTGTAGCGGTGTGTTCTCTTGGGGGATTCCTACCTTTTTTCTATTCAAATGACATGCTAGATAGGAAGGGTAAACCCTGTGATATTTGTCAATGGGCTAGGTGTTTCCTACCTGTTTTGCTGCATACTGTCAACAAGGGGATTTCTCGTTACTTTTTATTCAACCGAAAGAAAAGAGAGATTTTTCACAAGTGAAAACACAGATAGCTAGATATAAAAAAAAAAGGTTATATACCTAAGAAAAATAAAATTGTCCTGAGTTCCACTTTAACCTCCTCCTGCTCGCCATATACGGTAATGACGGGCGCAAGGCGGTTCTGTCGTTCTGGGAGGACGTCATATGACGTCCTACCATTCTAACCGAGCACGCGCATGCGCGGCTCCAGGAGCTCCAGGACCATTCTAACCGCGCATGCGCGGCTCCAGGAGCGCGCTGCACGGCTATCCCTTGGACACAGCGGATCACCGATCAATGGAAAGAGCCGAAGATGTCAGCTCGGTCATGTGATCAGCTGTGTCCAATCACAGCTGATCACATGTAATTAGGGAAATGCTGGTTATCTGCATTTCTCTCCTCACGAGCCATCACTCTGACAGCTCGTGAGGAGTGGAGAGCCGGTAATCGGCATTCCTCTGAGGGGACATGTACACAGATCATTAGGGGACTAATGATCAGTGTGCCCTGATGATCAGTGTAGCCCCAGCAGTGCCACCTGTCAGTGTCCATCAATGCCACCTGCCAGTGCCCATCAGTGCACATATCAGTGCCTACCAGTACACATCAATGCCACATATAAGTGCCCATCTGAGCTGCCTTTCAGTGTCACCTATCAGTGCCAGTCAGTGCCACCTATCAGTGCTGCCAATCAGTGCCCCCTATCAGTGCCACCTATCAGTGCCCATCAGTGATTCCTATCAGTGCCGCCTAACAGTGCCAGCCAGTGCTGCCTATCAGTGCCAACTATCGGTGCCGCCTATCAGTGCCATATATGAGTGCTGCCTTTCAGTGCCCATCAGTGATGCCTGTCAATGCCCATCAGTGCCACCTACCAGTGCCTCCTCATCAGTGCCCATCAGTGCCACCTATCAGTGCAGGCTATCAGTGCCCATCACTGCAGCCTCATTAGCGCACATCAGTGAAGGAGAAAAATCACTTATTTACAAAATTTTATAACAAAAACTAAGAAAAAAACTTTTTTTTTTCAAAATTTTCAGTTGTTTTTGGTTTGTTTAGCAAAACATGAAAAACCCAGAGGTGATTAAATACCACCACAAAAGAAAGCTCTATCTTTCTCAAAAAAATTATAAAAATGTCATCTGGGTACAGTGTTGCAAGACCGCGCAATTGTCATTCAAAGTGCAACAGCGCTGAAAGCTGAAAATTGGCCTGGGCAGGAAGGGGGTATAAGTGCCCTGTAGGCTTGTGGTTAATAAAGGCCCCTTGACCCCACTCCCTCCTCCTAGGGAAAGGGAGCCTTGACTGCTGGAAGCCTGGCAGCTACGTGGGAGTAAACCTAAAACAGAGATGTTAAGTGGCTCCGATAGGATTGGCCACCAAGATATGAGGTGACTGAGTTGAGTGGAGCCTGAACTATAGAAAAAGGCTACGCAGGGGCACGTCCCACTACTCTGAGGAGATTCAGACGTCACAAGAGTTGCCCACTTTCCCACTCATTGGGAGTTTCATCACAGCTTTATTGGCAGCTGTACCTTGCCAGCAGTTGATATTGCTTTATGGGCTATGCCCTCAAGTTTAATTCTGGGATCAGTTTAATGCCTGTCTGGCCCTGATGGTGAAGACAGGCCTCCTAGACTATCTGTGTTTTTGTTATGGATGCTCACCGTATAACTGTGACTGGCATTGTTATATGGTTTCTTTCAATGTTGTTACATTTTGGAAAGTTCAATAAAGCTGTGGCCTTGCCCTAGTTCCAACTTGACCACTTGCCCTCCTGAGGATTTACCCCCCTTCCTGACCAGGCCATTTTTTGCGTTACATTGCTGCGTCACTTTAACTGACAATTTCGCGGTCATACAATGCTGCACCCAAATTACATTTACATCCTTTTTTTCCCACGAATTAAGCTTTCTTTCGGTGGTATTTGATTGCCTGTGTGTTTTTTTATTTTTTGCGCTATAAGCAAAAAATTACCGACAATTTTGAGAAACAAAAAACAATATTTTGCTATTAAACATGTCCAGTAAAAAAATTTAAAAAAATCAAATTTCGTCATAAATTTCAGCCAAAATGTATTCTGTGACATGTCTTTGCTAAAAAAAAATCCCAATATGTGTAAACTAATTGGTTTACGTGAACGTTACAGCGTTTATAAATGGCGGTATAGTTACTGATTTTTTTTTTCTACTAGTAATGGCGGCGATCAGCGACTTTTAGCGGGACTGTTGCGGACATTCTGACACTGGGGGGAACTAACTTGGTGTCACTGACATCCCCTGTAAGGAAGGAAGGTCACATGCCTGATGAAGGGGTCCTGCGAGACTCCTAAACATTGCCTTGCTGTAACCATGTGATGGTTTATTAAAACCTTTGGATACATATTGGTGATCCCTTGGTGTGCTGGTGACATTTTTTCCTTGCTGATTTTGTTCGGTTCCAGCCAAAGGTCACTGCAGCACCCACTTATACACACAGCCATTTTTAACGCAGGAACGTGTGCGTTTGGATTATAAACTTGCATACTGACATCCCCTGTGACACTAATACAGTGATCAGTGCTAAAAAACAGCACTGGCACTGTACTAATGGCACTGGGCAGGAAGGGGTTAATGTGAGGGGCGACCAAAGGGTTAACTATGTGCAGGGAGTGTTTTACTAAGGGGTGAGGGGTGTGTGCTTCACTTTCAGCACACTGATTGGGATGGCTGTGCTGTGCACAGCCATCCCAAGCTGTGTGCCTGAACTGACAGGGAGGAAAACTGTTTGTAAACAAAACAGTCTTCCTCCCCGTCGGTGATTTCGGCAATCACCGGGCGCAGGCGGGTAATCACCGGCCCGGACCCGGTTACTGACATCTGTGGCCGCGAATGGCAGAGCGGGTAGGGCGCTCATCTGCCCGGAAATGCGAAATCAAGTATATATACGTGATTTTGCACACCCGTGCCTCTGTGTAGCAGTATATCTGCTATGCGGTGGCGGGGAAGTGGCTAATCAGCCTCTTTGTCTTTTGGGGAGGCAAGGTTTTTTGTTATGTTAGCGGTGAAACGCACCTAGGCTTCTCAGCAGTCATGATTGATTAACAATAATTTTTTACAGAAGGCGTTACATCAATTTATGAGTGCTTCTAAAAAAAATAAAAAAAATGTGCATATATCTGCTACTTTTGTTCCTAGTGTCATTTCAGAATAATCACAGACAGATGTATGACATAAAGAAAACTCTCACCTGATGGGTTTGCTATGAGTAGAAGGGATGCAGCAGGGACAAGATAGACTGTGAGCATCCAAAGTACTGGCCTCAGTAGTCGATGTTCCCACAAGTAAAAAGGACTCCCTTTCATTTCTGCTGTCAGACTATAACACCAGGAATCATACATCTCCCTCACTCTGGGAGAATCCCCCAGACCTGAAGAAACAGAAAGCAGAAAATACATTTTCCCGAATATGTTTACATTTTAAAATAAAAGAGAAATTCTCTCAAGTTATGATTTATATTTGGGTAGAAAAGAAATATACTTACCCATAATATCACTATTCCCCTCTCCTTATGTTGCATCTGACATCCCATATGGAAGAAAAATATATTTGAAATATATTTTAAAAATATTCTTCCCAAATATATTGCCATACATTTGAAATGCTACAATTTTGGCCATATTCAATATATTTAAAACTATATATATATATATACTGCATGTTGAAATGTGTTTTTATTACAAAATATATGAAAAAATATTTTTAAAAATACATTTCAAATATACTGTATGCCTTTAAAAATACAAATCTACATTTTTGGAGTGCATTTACAAATGTATGTAAAATATATGTTAAAATTATTTTTTATATGTTAAAAAAAAATCTGAAGAACATATTTAAAAAGACATATTTTTAAAAATATATTTTTTAAAATATATTCTTCAGATTTTTTTTAACATATAAAAAATTAATTTTATCAAGCACAAATGATGTAAAGCGCTGAGCAAACTGTATAATAATAATAATAATAATAATGAAGACATTTGCAGTACAACAGACCTTCAGATTAGACTGTAGAAAAAGATATATAATTGTATATGCATTTTAGAAATCAGTAATGGCTGCTTTCTAGGCTAATTGGCAAGAAATAGTAAAACAAATGGCATAGGGCGCTGGACACTGCCGTGGAGGAAATGTAACAAAGCAAAAAAAAAAAAAAAAACAATTGGGTGGGGTGCAGTGATTTTAAAAAATACTTTAAGTGAAACAGTAAAAATGCAAAATTCATTTAACCACTTACCAACCGCTCATAGTAAATACATTGCAAATGCGAGGCAGTTGCAGGCACAAATCACGTACCTGTACGTCTGCCCTTTCTTCCGGGTTTGGGGCGCACACGTGACTTGTGACTGGACGCAGTCCAATAACACAAACACACAGAACTCTGCATGCATAGGAACAACAGTCAGGCTGTTTCTTCTCCCTGAAAAGCAGGGAGAAAAAACAGCCAGATTGTAAAGTAAAAGCAGCAGACATTACATACATTACACATTGTTAGGCACACAGCTAACCCCTTGTTAACCCTTTCCCAGTCAGTGTGATTAGTACAGTGTCAGTGTAGAGTATTATTACTGATCACTGTATTAGTATCACTATTGATGTCAGTTTCAGTTAGTGACCCACCCAGATAGTGTCTATTAGCACCAGATTGCCCACCACCCTATCACAGTCCCACACAGACGCTGATCACCTCCATTACTGTATTGCATCTATAGCTGTGTAAATATACTTAATATAGTAAAATAATATAGTTTGTAGATGCTATAACTTTTGTACAAACCAATTAATATACACTTACTGGGATTTTATTTTAACCAAAGACATGTAGCAGAATACATTTTGGCCTCAGTTTATGAAGAAATTAGATTTTTTTAAAAATTTTTTTACTGGATATGTTTTATAACAGAAATGAGAAAATAGAGTGTTTTATTTTCTAAATATTCAGTCTTTTTTTGTTTATACAGTAAAAAATAAACACCCAGCGGTGATCAAATACCACCAAAAGAAAGCCACAGTGCTGAACAGCAAGAAAATGCTCTGGTCATGAAGAAGGTAAAACCTTTCCAGAGGTCAAGTGATTAAATAACATGTCAGCGGGATGCCTTTAACCTACCTATTAAGTAGTGCATATGTAAGATGTATACAGCATACTACAGCAAAGCTGCCATTTACAAAGAAAAAAAATGCTGTCTAAATTGCTGGTAAATGACAGTTCCAAGCTCCTTCCTGTTTGTAGGCAAACTTATTCTAGACCCTTATCCTAGATGAATGTCTGGTATAGATGTTAATGTTCCCCCCTTATATACTGTTATCCTCGATGAGGGATCCCTCATGACATCACTGACCAAATGCACTGTTAGCTGCCAATGCACTACTGTAGGCCTAAAGTCATACAATCTATCAAGTTGAGCTGAAAGTGCCGTTAAAGCCATATTACCAAATACACATGGATCATCATTAAATACAACAATTTAACAACGCATATATAGCACACATTAAAATAAGTGCCCCAAATGCTGTTTTCTCTCTTTTATATACTTCAGTCACAGCACAACTGCAACTTGTTCTCCACCACAGTGCAATCTAGGGGAGGAGCAAGCGAGAATCCTCTGATGAAGCTGTCCAAGCTGACTGGGAGGGAAGAGAAGCCGCCGATATCAGATGGGCAGGGAGGTGCTAGGGTTTACAGAACTAATCCTCTGTGAGGCTCTCTCTTCAGCAGGTGAATGCTACTCTCCCTCCTGACAGCTTTCAGCTGCTGCATAGAAAGTCACACAGAGAATCAGTTCTGTAATTGTCCCCCACCACCCCCATCACCCTCCCTACGCTCCATCGTCTTCCCCCCCATAACGCTGCCCGATTCCCTCCTCTGCTCTCCCTCCAGCTGCTGCAGCAGATTGTGTCAGAAGTGAGAGCATGGGAAGAGGGATTGTAAATATGTAATATTTACCAGACCCTTCCTTTTTTGAATGAACACAGTAAGTGATCAGTGCCCATTACTCACTGTGTTCATTCATAAGTGAAGTATAGTAAACTGTATTTACTATGCTTCAGGTTTGTGAATGAACAGGAGGCTCTGTACAGAGATTTCTGTTCATTCACTGTCTAGTACAGCTGAGGCTGCAGAGAAAGAAACTTGGGAATGTATGTTCTCAGTATCTTTCTCTGTTTTAAAAGTGAGACATCAGGGGCCTGTGCAGACCACTGATATTTCACCAACCCCCCCCCCCCCCCAACAGAGTTGAACAAAAATAATTTAAACCTTTTTTAAAAAATAATTGGAAACTCTAAAGAATAATTAGAAACTCTAATGAAGTTAAAAATGTAAAAAAAACACTACAATATATTAAGGGCTCACTCACATGGGTTCTCCAGCAAATAAGGTGCGAATGAGTGATTTGTTTGTTTTTACTCTATGTGGACACAACAGCTGCATGAACAAAACCAAAAGTTCTAATTTGATCCTGCATCCCCATAGCATGCCAAAGCCTGCCTACACACAGCTTCCAGCCACATTAACAAAAAAACTGAATCACACTATACAGGCCACAGCACTCATTTGAATGAGCCCCACTGCCTCATCACACACAGAGGTTTATTCGTCAACCCAATACAGTTTTATCTTTTAGATTTGCCAGGACTCTTCTAAGTTATGTTGTATTTGTGTTTTGATATTTTTGGGGGAAGGAGCTTTTTTTTTTTTTTTTTGCACAATTTAAGAGTGATTTTTGTGTTGAACACTGAGTGGAGTGTTATATATGTAAAAGATAATGCACTATGTTTTTTTTTTTTTTTTTTTATTTTTATTTTGAGGTATTTCAGAATATCTAGGATTGATTTCCTTCTAACTGCATCAAGGTGGAAAATTGGGATTTGGACATTGGACACAATTACTATTTAAAAAAAAAATTTTTTTTGGACACAATTCACATATTTTTATAGATTTTTATTTTATCTTTAGTTTTGATTATATGAATTTATTATACTTAATTTATGTTTATCACAAAAAGGTTATGTGAGATTGTATACTTTCTAGGGAGAAAGTGTGACTTTTTGTGGAGAGTACAAAAAAGGAATTTGATTGATTGAAGTGATTTTAGCTGAGCAGCCTATCATTTTCTGCACTTCTTTATATGTTTTCCCCTCTCCAATCAACTTTTTAACCTCCTTGGCGGTATTCCCGAGTGTAGCTCGGGATAACATTTCAGTACCAAGAGCGGTAACCCCGAGCTACACTCGGGAATACCATGCGGCACTTCTCCGGCATTTGTTCTTCACTTACCTTACCCTGCGCTCCCGCGATGTGTCCCCTGCAGCGTCCCCGGCCATCTCCTCCGGCCGATGCCGGCATCCGCTTCTGTGTCCTGTCCCTGTGACGTCGGGACGTACGGGCGCCGCTGGCGGCGGGAAATTTAAAAATTTTAAATAATGTCATTTTTTTTTTTTTTTACATTTTACATAGTAAAAACATTGCTGCCTCAACCAATTTCACATACATTTTGTCCCTAGTGCTTTGTCCTGCGCCCTGCCTGCATTTTGTCTGTTTTTTCTGCCTGGAAACTGAGAAACGTCCATGGCGTCCAAAAAGTGTCCCTTTAGGTCAAAAGCGGTTTAGATCAGCTAGGAGAACAGCGATAGTAAATCAGAACCACTTGCAGAATTGAGTGATAATGATTTGTGGGGAAATTCGTCATCAGACACTGAAAACGATTCTGCGACTTTGCTCAGCGATGTGCGAACTTGGCGCTATATTTCAAATTTCAGTGTTTTTGGTTTGATTATATTATTGAATTACATGTATTAATATTATATTATTATTTTTTTGATTATTTACACCCCCGGGATGTTTAATAGACTCTTGTTCGGACAGATTTCAGTGAGTTATTCCTAAATATTACAGCCTACAATAAAAAAACTACATATTTCCATGCAAAATAATGGTACCGCTTTCAGCACCAAAAATCGGAAATAAATCATACCGCCAGGGAGGTTAATCAAGGTACGCTGTTCTTCTGAACAATGTCTGGAACGACTGTCAGGGCTCCCGGTAAGACCAGAGATGCGTGAACTGACACAGGGAAACGCAGGCTCAAGTATGGTGTAACAATATAATTTATTAAGGGTTATACACAAATATAATGTACAATATAACAAAACCAAACCTCCAACTGATAACAGAATGTACACAGATAAGAGCAGTCAGGGCTGGGGAGGTGGAGTGGTCAGGCGGGCCGGGTCAGGAATCATCGGGCAGACAAGACACAAAGGAGTAGGCAGAGTGTAGTCAGACGGGCCGGGTCAGGAACAATCAAGCAGACAAGGTACCAAAGGAGCAGGCTGGAGAGTGGTTAGGAATAGCCGAGGTCAGGACAGGCAGAGTTCATTCAGGGTCAGGATCAAGCAGAATCAGGAATCAGGCAGGAAGCAGACAGGATGCAGGTACAGGGGCTCATGGGAAACATCACCAAGGCCCTGACTGCAGGTCTGGCCATTCCTTAAATACACCTCCTGCAATCAGCCTCAAGTGATGGCTGACTGCAGGAGTGAGCTTCTGGTTGCTGAGAGCACCCGCTGGCCAGCCCTGGTACTGCAGCCCACAAGGCAGGTGAGTCCCACCACCATTGGAAAGTCCATTCCTGACAGTACCTCCCCCTCAAGAGCGGCCTCAGGATGCTCCAAACAGTCCGTAATGGCCCAAATGTTCCACCGCCTGGGTCTGGCAACTGGCTGGACATCCCACTGCCGGAATCAAGTGATTGGCTGGGTCTCCTGCTGCTGATAGGCCTAACTTTTTGCAGGAGACCGCAGGAAGGCAGATTGCTGGACACAGGATTTCCAGAAGCAGGCTGGGCATCAGGAGCCGGTACATTAGGCTGGGCAGCGGGCGGAGGCACGTCAGGGTGGGCAGCAGGCAGAGGCACGTCAGGCTGGGCAGCAGGCAGAGGCACGTCAGGCTGGGCAGCAAGCAGAGGCACGTCAGGCTGGGCAGCAAGCAGAGGCACGTCAGGCTGGGCAGGCAGGCAGAGGCTGGGCACAGGCAGAGGCACGTCAGGCTGGGCAGGGGGGCACCTGCCCATCAGGCGAGGCAGCGGGCACCGAGTCATCAGGCGAGGCAGCGGGCACCGAGTCATCTGGCACGACAGCGGGCACTAAGCCATCAGGTGGAGCAGTGGGCACCGGGCCATCAGGCGAGGCAGCAAGCACCGGGCCATCAGGCGAGGCAGCAGGCACCGGGCCATCAGACGGAGCAGCAGGCACCGGGCCATCGGGCGGAGCAGCGGGCATCGGGCCATCAGGCGGAGCAGCGGGCACTAGGCCATCAGGTGAGGCAGCAGGCACCGAGGCATCAAGCTCGACAGCGGGCACCGAGTCAACAGCGGCATGACAGAGGGCACCGGTCAACTGGCATGACAGGCACAATTGCACAATTGGGGCACTGAGTCATCTGGGACGACAGCGGGCACTGAGTCATCTGGCACGACAGCGGGCACTGAGTCATCTGGCACGACAGCGGGCACCGAGTCATCTGGCACGACAGCGGGCACCGAGTCACCAAGCTCGACAGCGGGCACTGGGTCATCTGGCATGACAGCGAGCACGGGTCATCTGGCACGACAGCGGGCACCGGGCCATCAGGTGAGGCAGCAGGCACCGAGGCATCAAGCTCGACAGCGGGCATCGAGTCATCTGGCAGAACAGCGGGCACCGAGACACCAAGTTCGACAATGGGCACCAAGTCAAGTGGCACGACAGCGGGCACCGAGTAATCTGGCATGACAGCGGGCACCGAGTCATCTGGCACGACCGCGGGCATCGAGAGTCATCTGGCACGACAGCAGGCACCGGGTCATCTGGCACGACAGCGGGTACCGGGCCATCAGTTGAGGCAGCAGGCACCGAGGCATCAAGCTCGACAGCGGGCACCGAGTCATCTGGCACGACAGCGGCCACCGAGTCATCTGGCACGACCGTGGGCACCGAGTCATCTGGCACGACAGCGGGCACCGAGTCACCAAGCTCGACAGCGGGCACCGGGTCATCTGGCACAATAGCGGGCACCGAGTCTTCTGGCACGACAGCGGGCACCAAGTCATCTGGCACGACAGCAGGCACCGGGTCATCTGGCATGACAGCGGGCACTGAGTCATCTAGCCACCATGGGCACCGAGGCACCAGGCCGGACCACGGGCACCGAGGCACCAGGCCGGACCACGGGCACCGAGGCACCAGGCTGGACCACGGGCACCGAGGCACCAGGCTGGATCGGATCATCAGGCTGGATCCCGAACACCGGGTCATCAGGCTGGATTGGGTCATCAGGCTGGATCGGGCCATCAGGCTGGGTAGCGGGCACCAGGTCATCAAGCTGGATGGATCATCAGGCTGGATCGGGTCATCAGGCTGGATCGGGTCATCAGGCTGTATCGGGTCATCAGGCTGGATCAAGAACACCGGGTCATCAAGCTGAATCGGGTCATCAGGCTCGATCGGGTCATCGGGCCGGTCATCAGGTTGAATGGGGTCATTGGGCTGGATCACGAACACCAGGTCATCAGGCTGGATCAGGCCATCAGGCTGGATCGGGTCATCAGGCTGGATCGGGCCATCAGGCTGGATAGCGGGCACTAGATCGTCAGGCTGGGTAGGAACATCAGGCTGGGTAGGAACATCAGGCCGGGTAGCGTACACTGGGTCATCGGGCATCAGGGTATCAGGCTAAATTGCGGGCGCGAGGGCACCAGGCTGAACCACGGAATGCGGGTTCTCAGACAGCAGGCTGACCGGTTTAGATACTGGCAGGATGGTACTGGTTGGAAAGAATTTTCGCCTTTTCCTGGTTTTAATTACTGGAGCACTGTAAGTAAGTGCAGGTTTGTAAACGGATAGAGCAGCTGTAGGCAGAGAAGAGCTGGGGGATGGAACAAAGGAGGGAGCAGTTGCTACAGAGGACTTCTTTACAGGGTTAAAGGCAGGATAGGTGCAGCGAGTGGGAGCAGGGGACTGACATATGTAGATAGCAGGGTATACTAGGCTGTCATTGGGGGTGCTGTTGGGAGTGCAGGAAGAAAGCTTTGAGCAGAGGAATGATGAGAAGCAGGACTGGTTTGTTGCAAGCTGACTGAGGCTGGGTGTAGCAAGTCTGCCCAGGACTGTAGTATGGGTGAACACAACTCCGCTTACACATAGCCTGTCTGACCAAAGACTGCACTGCGTCTATACACTCCACTAGCACATGAGATGGACAAGCTGCATAATGCTCATGGAAGCAATCTGGATCCTCCTCCAACAACCATACCAGCGATTCTACTTGATCTGCACTGAATGGGGGAAAAAAGTAATCCCTGCTTTCAGGGGTACTAGATGAAGCCAACTCCACACAAGCCTGAATTAATGGTTGCACCTCAGAGAACTCTGTGCCCTGATCTACCAGGGAATGCGCGACCCCTATGCATTCTAGCAGCTGATCCCTGGTATACTCCTGCAGAGTCTCATAGGCATATTCTTTGTCATCAAAGACTAGCAGACACAAGTATATAACCTCCTCCGGATGCATCCTTCACAACAATAAGCCAAGATGGCTTCCCTGTGCAGCCACTTCTGGTCAGGAATGGCCTTGGTGTAATGTCAGGGCTCCTGGTAAGACCAGAGATGCGTGAACTGACACAGGGAAACGCAGTGTCAGGGATGAGGGTGTGACCAGAAGTGTGTGGACTGACAGGGAAACGCAGGCTTCAGATATGGTATAAATAAGACAATTTGTTAAGACTAACAATACAAATATAAATTGCAGTGCACCAAACCCCAAGCTAACACAAATACATACAACAAGGTGAAACAAACCCAAACCTAAACTGATATAGATACACAGGTACATACACATATAGAGCACAACGTAGTCAGGCAGGCCGGGTCGATAACTATCGGGCAGGTAGGTACAGGAGGAGCAGGCGGAGAGTAGTCAGGTCATGAGCCGGGTACAGCAACTAACAGACAGGTAGGTACAGGGGGTCAGGCAGAGAATGGTCAGGGTCACAAGCCAGAGATCAAACAGGAGAAGTCAGCAGAGGTCAGGATCAGGCAGGGTCGGCAACAAGTCAGGCAGGAACAGGAACAGGAATGCAGGTTACAAGATACAGGGGCCCATGGAAAAACACACACCAAGGCACAGACTGCAGGTCTGGCCATCCCTTAAATTTCACCACCTGCAATCAGCCCCAGGTGAAGGCTAATTGCTGAAGTGAACCTCTGGTTGTTAAGAGCACCCGCTGGCCAGCCCTGGTACTGCAGCCCACAAGGCAGATGAGTCCCACCACTATTGACAAGTCCATTCCTGACACGCAGGCTCAAGTATGGTGTAACAATATAATTTATTAAGGGTTATACACAAATATAACGCACAATATAACAAAACCAAACCTCCAACTGATAACGGAATGTACACAGATAAGAGCAGTCAGGCCTGGCGAGGTGGAGCGGTCAGGCGGGCCGGGTCAGGAATCATCGGGCAGACAAGACACAAAGGAGTAGGCAGAGCGTAGTCAGACGGGCCGGGTCAGGAACAATCAAGTAGACAAGGTACCAAAGGAGCAGGCTGGAGAGTGGTCAGGAATAGCCGAGGTCAGGACAGGCGGAGTTCATTCATGGTCAGGATCAACCAGAATCAGGAATCAGGCAGGAAGCAGACAGGATGCAGGTACAGGGGCTCATGGGAAACATCACCAAGGCCCTGACTGCAGGTCTGGCCATTCCTTAAATACACATCCTGCAATCAGCCTCAAGTGATGGCTAACTGCAGGAGTGAGCTTCTGGTTGCTGAGAGCACCCGCTGGCCAGCCCTGGTACTGCAGCCCACAAGGCAGGTGAGTCCCACCACCATTGGCAAGTCCATTCCTGACAACGACCCATTTTCCTCAGAATTTCAGAGAGAAATGCACTGTAACCAACATGTACAACATTTGCTGCTTCCTTAAATAAGGGCAATAATTGCCACCTGTTTTTCAAAGAATGAATTTCCTCACTAATAGAACTCCACACTGCTATTATTTTGAACATGCCCCTTTCAATTAGTGATTCAATTCCACAGAATCAGCAGCATGCATGTCATGACGGTTGGGTCTGTTGGATTTCTATTACTCTACTACACCTGCTAGTAAATTATTTGCCATGTAGAAATATCATTTATACCAAAACCAGTAATTGATCAGGTTAGTGATGTCTGACTGCTATTATTTTGAACACAACTGTATAAAGCACCTACCTCCTCTCAACATCCCCCGCATCCCATGATCCAACAGTTCTCTTTCTGAATTTAGCCACGAATATCATCATTTGTAAATGAATATATGCCCATTTAAAAGTATTTTGTAGTTTACATATATATTTATCTTCATAGCTCACAATGCATGTTCTTTTTGAGAATAAAATGCTTTTGCTGCTACCACATTTCCGCTCACTTCAACTGTAAGCGTGTGAATAAATGGCTAAAAAATAATTTTTTCTACTGTAACCCTACCACCACCATAACAGTTAGAATTTGGACTGTCTGCATACATTTATTTAAACATTGGGAACCAGGATAATGCCTGGAAAGTATACAGGGATGCTTTCTACTTTATAGTTTAGAATCTGTAATATGTGTAGAGTAAAGCTTCCCATATCAAACAATTCTTTGATATTTGCAATTTAAATCATTTCAGTCAAGTATTTGACTGTGAATGTGTATATAAACTAAATCAAAGCCCAATAACTGGAGGAATGCTCATTTGGACTAGTTGGGAAATCTAAGTCGTGTAAACAATAAAAAATTGATGACACTCAAAAATAATCAATAATAATAAACAATAAACATCTATTAAACTGGTTGTTTTGGTATGCAGTCCCAGTATGTGAAAATAAGGTGAAAGTGTGCTAAATTCTTGACTGTGAACTCCGTATTAAAGTGACAAGGGCTCCACTGTGCTCAAACCGGTTCCCCACATGGATTTGCACTCGCCATCATCCCATGACCGTCTATTTCTAGGATGGTCACTAGCGCTTTTATTGGGACTATCCCAAAGTACAACGTGATGTTGGTGACCAATGTTCTTCCACAGCGTTGCTAATAGCAACCAATATATCCTCCCATGGTTTAAATAGAGTTGTGGATGGTAACCAGTAATCCTTCTCAGATGCTAAATTAATCCCAGAAATCCTCCTATCCTCCACAGGCAATTTAGCAAAATGTCAGCATAGAAATAGAAACAAAAACGGACATCCCATAATGTAAAACTGTAAAACCTTTAATAGCAGGGACAAATAGTAAAAATGCAACTCACAAAAAAAGTGCCTATGACTTGGTACTGAGTGTATTCAGCTTTGTTGCTTGCGAATGCAATCAAAGATGGCTGCCGCATTCCAGCGTGCATTCCAAAGGGCGGAAGTGACGTCTGCGGAAGTTGCGTCATCAAACCTCGACGCGTTTTGACCAATAGATCGTCATCAGGAAGTGCAAGAACCGCCATTTTAGAGATGGTATTTATACCCTGCAGTCATTATCCCAATTGCTTGGTTATACTGCAGCTGTGTCACTACTTAATTCATTGTCTGACCCTGTATAGAGGTCAAAATGTAGTTACATTAATCATTCTCAGAGGCCTGTGTTTGAAAAACTCTGTTTTTTAATTCTTTTTAACTTTATGTACTGCTGCCACCCACTGTGGCCTGGTGTGTTTTTATCTCGGCAAGCAGAAATGTCATCTTAAAGTTCTGTTAGCTAGTATTTGATTAGGCCCTAGGGGCTGGAAGGTAATGAGAGTGTCACCATCATTTTGTAAAAAGTGGTCATTGCAGGCTGAGCTAGGGTTACATAATGGGCTAAAACTGGGGCAAGGTTTAAAGACAACCTCCAGCTACATTTTTTTGTTTCAGATGGAATGGGAAGGGATTTACCCTTACCTCCTTTCCTGGTCACTCCATGGCACTCTCTGATGCACTAACATTGGTAAGTAAAGCGAAGGGATATCTTCCCAGTGGAATCATTGACTGCACACATTGCAAACTGCTCTGCATACTAAAGTGCAACAAAACACTGCTGCTTATGGCATTACCTTCTTCCTTTTACTTGGGTGACTGAAGTATATAGATTTGTCTCTAAATTTCCTTTTCAATCCTTACAATTGACAGCTCTCATCCATTGATCAATGGATAGATAACAAAATATATCATTTTCAAATAATACATTTTATGCTTTTATTTAAGTCATTA